CCCACACTTAAAACACTTCTTATCATTACTTTTACAATCCACCATACGATGTCCTGTCTCACCACACTTGTAGCACTTAATGGAAGAACTAGAATCTCCTCCACCAAACTTCTTCCAACCACCGAGTCTCTGATTACTTCTATCATAAGGCTTACCACGATCCATCTGTTGCTTACCCTTCCTATCAACATACCCTCGAGCATTCGACTTAGTGCTAGCAAGATCCTCCTCTAAAATCCTACTACAGTCAACCAGATCAGGAAATCTTCGGATACGCTGATACCGAATACCCTGCTTAATCTCATCACGAAGACCATTCTCAAACTTGATACATTTGGAAAATTCTCCATCTGCATCGTTAGTATAATGAGCATAATACTTCGCTAACTCAGTAAACTTCGAAGCATACTCACTGACAGTCTTGTTACCCTGCTTGAGTTCCAGAAACTCAATCTCCTTCTTGCCTCTGATGTCCTCAGGAAAGTACCTCCTCAGAAAAGCCCTCCTGAATACAGCCCAAGTCAACGCAATACCATCTTCTTCCATTTCAGTTCTGGTAGCAACCCACCAGTCATCAGCTTCCTCTACTAACATGTGAGTTCCGTATCTCACCTTCAGCCCTTCAGCACAGTCAATTACTCTGAAGATCCTCTCGATCTCCTTCAACCACTTCTGAGCACCTTCGGGATCATGTGCACCCTTGAACAACGAAGGATTATTCCTCTGAAAATTCCCCAATTGTCGGTCAACACCAATCACAGCTCCCTGCTGGTTCCCTCCGAGTACTCCAGCCAACATTCCCAATGCTTCAGCAATAGCATCGTCGTTTCTTCTGTTACCTCTTCCGGCCATTGTTTTGTAACATTACAAAACAACCTCATCAGCACACAAGTATCGACAGTGTCATCTTACACTAGTCGCATACAAAAGGGATAACGACACAAGACAAGACCGACTATGCTCTGATACCACTATTGTAACACCCCTTCTAAAATACTCCGAATAATATTAATTATATCAATGATTAAAGACATATTCCATCAGAATTAACACGGAACAAGGGATGTCACAATTATGAAATAAATAAAACTTCCAATAAAACAGTAGTCATGCTACACTGAGGGTCATTATTCAAATAATTCAATCAAATTAAGACCATGTCTTACACAGCAGAAAAATACCATAACCAAAACTGAATAAACCAAAACATAATTATTCCCAATGAAATTCAAAGAAACAATTGAATAATAACTAATTCCTCAACTAAACGTTCCCCAGTGTTACAACCTATCAGATCACGACACTGACACGTAGACTTAAAGTAACATAGCTCTAGAGCCATCCTCACCAACTCCTGAGCTGCTAACTTTAATATGAAATTGTTAAAGTAAGGGTGAGATTTCTCATAATTAACATGCATTATAAGCTTCTCAATCAACATTATATCACAAGCATATTATTTCACTCATTTTAGCATAAATTCAGATTCAACACGCAGTTCCAATCATACAAGTCATTATGCACAAATCAATAATCAACCAAAGAATGGTAACACTGGAAGACATCCTAACATGTTACAATTCCATGCAAACACAAATGCAGACACAATGCATGTGGTACCAACACGTGACCAAGTCACCCAACACTGATCCATCATCAACCGGATACAGCAACCATCGATTCGTCCATAAACACCCGGACACGAATCCAGCCTAACCACCCATCATCACCCGGGTATCGGTTAACGACAATACAAGTCAAATTCCACACAATGGGAATTAACTTCACCAAAACAATGGATATGCACGCACATCACTAGCATGCAACATCAAATCAGTCTATGAAATACATCAATTTATCATAACTAAACCAAAACCAAAAACATGATATCTCAACGATCATGCACACCATCATTAGCAACATAAACATACCTTTCGTTCACACAATACTAATACATCCATCCATCACAGGTTCCCTGCTACATACACACCCATGTGCGTTAGCCAATAATCACTTATTCCGGGATTTGACTCATTTTCAAAATAATTTCAGGTTTTAGGAAATCTTTTCATTTTATAAAATAGAGCATTAAATTTAAGAAATAGCGTCCAAAACGGCACTCAAAACGGACTTACGGTTTGAAAGTTATGAATTTTCAAAGTTTAATATTTTTCAAAAAGTTACAGCAGAACCCGGTTCCTACATATGCAGGAATCGGTTCCTGAGAAGTTCAAAAATCACGCTTCTGGAAAATGTATGGGAACCCGGTTCCTACCTATACATGAACCAGTTCCTACGTGCAATTCTTGCCAGTTTTATAAATTCACACAGTGGAACCCGGTTCCTCCCCACTGGGAACCGGTTCCCACGACCTGCAGAGTCAAATTCTGCACTTTTGACAGCATTTTACTACTCTAATCCCATCCAATTCATACCCATTTGAATCCAACTCACAGCAATGTCAAAATAAGTTATAATGCATGATTCCAATGAGATTGTAACACACCATAACATCATACAATTTCCTCATAATATCAAATTGAATCAAAACATAAAAATTCATGGAATTGGGGTTTGAATTTCATAAACCTAACGATCCTAAATTGGGATTCCTAACAGACTTAATCAATCCTATTGATTCCAAAACCTATAAGGCATATTAACGGAATGAAATCACCCCTTACCTCGCGATGATCCTTCGAATTCACGACGTTTGACTTTTTCCTCTCTTCTCTTCTCTTCTCCAATTTCACGTATAATGACTTTTCCAAATAACCTTCTTTTTCTTTTCCTTTTTATCCTTCTTCTTATATTCCTTTTATTATTTGCCAAATAATAGTAATAAATTAGTTATCATTTAGTAGAGCTTTTTACTTCACACACCTCTAATTCAACCTTACACCCCCCGGTCTTCCTTTTTAATTCCATAATTAATTCATCCATTTAATCCAAAATATTATTAATTAAGCCTTTAATTAATTTAATAATTAAATTCCTAATTATTTAACACTTGAATTTAATTTGGGGTGTCACACCTACTACGGAAAGTTTTCGCTATTTTGTATTGCTAAACTTATCTGTTTCAGGGTATGTTTGAATCGATGGAAAGGAATGAAATATAGTAGAATGATGTTATGTTCTATTATTTGGTTTCGCAAAAAATGAATGAAATGGAATGTGATGAAACTCATTTCATCCAATACCATTATATTAATTTATTTTTCATTCCACTCAAATTGAGGTGTATCCAATGAAATTGAATAAATTAATAATATAATTTCAATTTTGTCCCCTAAAATTTCACTTTCATTAACCACATTCTTTTGAAGTAAAGACTGAAAATAGAATAAAAAATTATAATATTTTTCACTCCGTCCAATTTATAAACAGTGGAATGGAATATTAGTTCTGCTCTATCGTAAAATATTCAAACAATAGAATAAAGTTTATTTTCTGTTTCTTTCCATTCCTCTAGTTTTAAATTATCCAAAGAGACCCATTAACATACCAAAAGCACACTTAAAGCTTGTAGTAGCAAAAGAGAAAGATTTAATGTAAAATTAAATAAAAAAGAGAGAAATTAGACAAAAACTTAAACTTTTAATATTCTAATAAGAACCATTTAAGATTTTAATGTATATAAAAAATAAAGATAATTCTATTAAATATTAAGTTGTATTTTAGCACTCCTCTCCTTCCCTCCAAAAACCCTCAATTTGGGAGACTAAATATAGATTTTGATTCGTTTCTCTCCCCTCCTCTTAAAAAATTATAATAACAATAACTATGCCTTATCCTACTAGACAGACTCGATTACATGAATCAACTTTGTCATAATGTTTTATCAAAGACCATATTTCTAGCCAAATCATTAATTTCAAGATCCTTCTTAATAATTTCTCTTATAGTCTTTTTGGATCTTTATTTTCCTCAAATTGTTTGTCTTCTCTTCATCTAGTCTACTCTCCTTACTAAAGAGTCTACCGGTCTTCTCTCTACATGCTCAAACCACCTAAGTCTATTTTTCACCATCTTCTCTATAATAGGCTTTACTCCGACACTCTAATAATTTTATTTCTAATTTTATCCTATCGAATCTTACCACACATCCACCGCAGTATCCTCATCTTTGCTACACCTACTTTATTTTCGTGTTGGTTCTTAACCGCCCAACATTTTGTTCCTTACAAAATCGCAAGTCTTACCGCAGTCCGATAACTTGAGTGGTACCTTTGCATCACATATAACACCTGAAGTCTTTCTCAATTTCATCCATCCAACTTGAATACAATGATTTACATCCCTTTTTATTTCTCCAGCGTTATGTACTGCGGACCCAAAATATTTAAACCGCGTGATTTCAGGGATAATATAGTCTCCTCTTAAAAAATTAAATCAAACAAATATATTTAAAATATTTTTCACCCCTTCTCCCTTTCGAAACCTCTCAACTAAAGAGACCCTAAGTGACCTGAGAATAAAATTAAAAGCTGTGTTACTGTACATTGTTAAGCTATAAATGATTAGCTCAAACTTATTTTTGCCATATAGATGATAACATATTGTGCAAGGGCAGTTAGTCACTCTTTAGTTTATGATTATGAGTTATCAAACATGAACGCTAACAGATGTGTGTAGGAGCATTCACTCAGCAATCAGTTCTCAGTTCAGCAAGGATAAAAAGGGGTCAAGGAAATGGTAGACAATTTTTTTGATGCTAAATTAACCCGTGACATCCACAAACATTACAATATTTGCAGATTGAAATGTAAGCCGAGTCATATACCTGTTTTCCCTATCTATTTACTTAAATTTCTTAATATTTTGCCTCACGTGGGGATTAATATTTTTCTTACATTAAATATTTAAGAAATATTATTACAGCACGTGGACTATGATAAAATAATTACTGAGGTATTCAACTGTGGATTGCTGTTCCCACAAGGAAGAGAACTACTAGCTTGCAAAGGCCCACAGGTTCAGAAAGAGAACAGGATGTACTATCTTTCTTCGGAGTTAAATTTGCTCCAAGCATCCTAAAAAAAAAAGACAATAATGCTGAAATGAGAAGCAGATGATAATGGCTAACAAATAGATGTTGAATGTACAACAACACTGTTTTATCATCTGTTAAAATGGTTATATAATACTGTTGCAATTGGACTCATAGTCAAACTGGATGAGTACACCAAAAATGAGTGGTATTTTTATCTATTAACTGAGTCTGAACGCAGGGAATGAATACAGACCAAGGAGTATTACAATACTTAATCTGCCCAATATCCACAACGTATTATTATATTTTGTTTTTCTATAATTAGGTTTTAAAAGTTCTCTTAATATTTTTTATTTAGTTGAATGTTATATTTTTAGGCAATGTTCCTTGTTTTGTTGATATGTCATAGTTAATTAAAGAGATATTGAATAGACCAACATGCTAAATACAAGAAGCAAATAACAAATAACAAATACCCAATGAACGAGCATTTATCATTCAAGCTTGGATAGGAGGTTTAGTAAAATGTAGATTAGCATGTGTCTATGTGTCTGCATAATTTTCATATGCTGATATATGTTTGTGATTTTGTGCATGTGCACCTGATAGATTTCAAGTTCTGCAAAAGCATTATGGTTTGCTTTGCTGCCGTAGAACTTATACATCTCTGATATAAAATAGTACCACGGTCAGATTGCATGCATATGCACTTTGGTTAAAATAGATAATTACAAATAGGCGAAAGATGGCAAGCCAAACAAACCTTTAAGAGATCAAAGACTTTTTCACATATGTATTTGTGTTGAATACTTGCTCCACGTTGCTGTAATTTGTCGGGATGGACGCAAAGGGTTGCCTTCCTGTAAGCTTTCTTTGCAGCAGCAGAAGTAATTACCTCCGTGAGTGGAATTGGCTGCCATCCACTATCAGGCCCAAGGATCTGACAAAGTACAAAATTAAAAAAGAAGCCATGTATTACGTATAGTCTTCCCTTAACTGATACTCAGGATAAACACCAACAAAGGTCTCAAACAGGAAGAAAAAAATTGAGGACAGGAAGGAATCAAGAATATCAGGATTCAGGATTAAGCAACCAACTGATTAAAACTCATCCGTTCAAGTCTCTTACTGGACCTTTAAATGTCACTCTCTACTTTGTGAGCATAAGTTGGGGTAAGGGAAGAGACGAGAAGCATGTGCAAAGTTATATCAAAAATTCAGAATGGGAACACCTACATATTGCAAGGTTGAAAGCAATGCACGCAGGTTTCCTTCTTTTCCACTTGACCACCTTCTGACTTCAGTATCCAGAGTCTCCGCTAATCTCTGCTAAGAGTATCAGATTCAACAATCAATGAAACATGGACAATAATTCAGAACCTTAAAAGAACAAATGTATAGATGGTTACACTTCTCTCTGCTTGCTCCTTCTGAGCAAGAAGGTCTCGCATGTTCTTTTCTTCCAAAGCTTTTGCCTAATAATATTTCCAAAAAAATCATGGTCATGATCATTATATTACAAATACAATTTGCATGCCACTAGAATCAAAAGATTGGAGATCTTACTGCACGGTCTTCTGTTCGACGACACCTCTCCAGTCTAGCTCTACACCTCTGAGCTGATTCACCTTCAGATCTCTCGGTGAAAGAAGAAGCTTAAAACAAAGACAATATTTGGTCAGTACTGTGTCTGTATCAAGTGGATGCAGTAAAACGTTCATTAACAGTTTTATAATATAGTACTGCGAGGTGTTATAGACCACATACCACCATAAATTGAATATGGATGTCTAGAACCAGGGACAGAACTGAAGTTGTGAAACTGTGGATCAGGTATATCCTGCAATTCCATTCATTAGAAATTCAGGCAATTATGCAATTTAATCATTTGCAGATTTATGACGATACTTACAGATGATGAGGTGCCCATTCTTCCATCATTTCTGGATGAAACGCCAAATTTATCAGATACAGATCTATCTAATCGTTCTCTGGACCCAAATGCAGCTCTCTCAACCCTTACTTTTTCCATTGCACGCTCTCGAGCCTCTGCAGTTGCTCTTTCAACAGCAGCACGTTCTGCCTTCAACCTGGCTTCTGCAGTTGCTTTATCAGCATACGATTTGTCCCTAGCCTCAGCGCAGGCCTTTTCGAGTCTTTCCCTGGCCTCAGTCAGTGCTCTTTGTCGAGCTTCAGCTGTTGCTCTATCAAATGCAGCCCTTTCTGCTCTTTCCCGGGCTTCAGCATATGCTCTATCACGGGCTTCAAAAGTTGCTCTATCAACAGCCGCTCTATCTTTTTCTCTTTCCCTTTCTCTCTCAGCCTCCAGCATTGCTCTGTCAACAGCCATTCTATCTTTCTGCCTTTCCCTTTCTCTCTCCACCTCTTCTTCTATCTTTCTGAGGCGTTCTTTTTCTAATTCGCTTTCTATTCTCGGCTTTTCAGCATCTTTCTCTACTGAGGCAGGAGTTTCATTAAGACCCTTCTCTTTGATTTTTGTGGAATGGGCTATATGAGACCTTTGGGAAGTGTTGTGGACATCTACTGCTTCTTGAACTGCAGCAGGTTTATCCACTAATGTGCTCATTTTGTAATCATCGCATGTGTTTACTTGGCTTGACGACTTCAGGCTCCTACTTCCTTCCATTTGAGGGGCAGTTTTAGCTTTCTCGGCGCACGCATGTTCACTACTACAACAAAGTTCATTGGTGTGCCTCATGCTACAATCCATCTTTCCTGATTGTGCCCCAGAAACCTCTTCTTTTCCTTGGGACATTTGAAAAGAAGTTATTTTCTCGCTAGCTGTTATTTTTTCTACCCCTTCCTCTTCCAATTTCCTTCCACCAATTTTGCAGTCAGTTCTAGCTTCTCCAATTTCATGATCAGCGACAGGTTCTAGAGATAACCCCGGTTTTCCAATATTTTCTTCAGGAATGGTGGATGAATGAGCTGCCAGAAGATTTTCGCCATGTTGTGCTTTCCATTTTTCATTGGTTTCTTTAGCAAATTCCATGCTCATACATTCTCTATTCACTTCCATTTGCTCCAAAGCTATATCAAACCCTTCAACTTTTTCACTCCTACCTGCGTCTTTGAGTATCTTCTCAGGTTGCTTGGAGTGACTATTCTCATTTGATATACCTAAAGGTGCTTCCCTGTCACATGTTTGGTTTGAAATACTCTCAGTTTCTTGTTTCATCTGAGCCTCATTTCCACTTCGTCTTTCTAGCTCTATAGCTTGTTTCCGAGCTTTCAAAGTCCCTTCGCTCTCACTTGTTTCTTCAAGTCTATTTGATTTTCCACATTCATTAGAAACCAATTTGAATTTTTCTTTACTTTGATCTTCTACACATGCCTCATTTGTCCTGCGCTCAAATGCCTCTTCAGTTTTTATCTTGTTCAAACCTGATTCAAAGTCGTCTTCTTTAAGCCTTTTTTCATTCACTACCCGCCTATGAGCAGGCTTTTGGCCTTCACTACTTCCTTTGTTTTTAAAATAACCTTTTTGGCTTTCTTCGAGTCCACTTCTGTTCTGTATATGTTGTTCGGAGATGATATCATTTTCCCTTGTGCAAGTTACATTCTCTTTGGGCTTATCCAGCTTAATAGTTTGATTTGATCTTCCTTTAATTTTCTCAAGCTCCTCAGAATTTTTTACTCTTTCCTCGCCCTCTGCTGCTTCAGGAGCAAAAGCTTCTCTTTGAACTGTTTCATTTTCTTTCATTATTTGAGGCTGCTTGTGGTTTTTCACACCTGGATGCTGCTCTCCATTCTGTTTTAATTTCTCCTCATTTTCTTTAAGCTTCAAGCTAAACTGAATTTCACTTAGTTCTTGTCCATCAACCTCTTTTGATATCTCACTTCTCACTCGATTTGCTTTAGTTGCTTTCTTCTCAGTTTTTCCATGTTGGCTGACCATTCTTATCTTCTCACTCTTTTCAAGCTCAAAAGTTTCAGTAATTTTGTCATTCCTTGTAGGCTCTCTCTGTCTGCATTCCACATTAGATGATTTAGATCTCCTAATGTTTTTTACCTGTTCAGCCCCTCTTTCTGCTTTAGATTTGTTCTTGTGTTCGTCAGGCTGATAACTTTCTAGACTCGCTTTTACCTTTTTGTATTCTTCTTGGATATTAGATGCTTCTCCTTCTTTCCTCCAATGCTCAAATGTTCTGGCATCTTGCACCAAACAGTTGGTATCATTTATGGGATGAACTACCTTTTGAGATTCTTTTGTTCCCACCAATTCAATAAATTCAGTTGCTTCTTTCCATGTCCCAACTCCAATACTTTGATCTGATTCTTGAGATGACCTGGATTCCTTCATGTGCTTTTCCTCGAACAAGTTTAATTGTTTTTTCCCTTCTAATGGTTCTGGAATTACTGGAACTGCCTTCCTAGCTTTCTGCCTTTCATCTGTGGCGGAAATTTCTATTTTGCCAAATCTTCGATCACAAGTAGGAAGCACTCTCTCATCGTTCAAACTATTAAATCTAGTTATATTCTCACTCATCTCTGTTTCATTTGTTTTTACATCCAAAGTTGATTTTATGCAGCTTTCAGAACCCCTCTTCTTTCTCCCCTTCAGATCTTTTACATTCCTAACTTTTGCTTCTGATCTGTCAGTGGCTTCTTTCACAACAGAAGCAGACGAATTAATATCAACCTCCACATCAAAGAAAGGTGGCGAACCATCACCTAAAGTATCTTCAGAATCAATCCGCTCACTGTTGGAATGAGATTCACTAGTGTATCCCTTGCTTGGATCTAATAAAGGTGGTGGCCGGCAAGGAGGTGGCAATTGAGATGGTATGGTTCTGAGGCTGACGTCAGACACGGTTATGAACATCTCACTGGAATGAGAATCATTTCTGTTGTATCCATCATGTAGATCAAGATCACAACAGAGAATCTGTTCACCAGAAGATACATTACAGGGACGCGACATCATTTTCTTATGATGGTTTCTCTTTCCCCTGCCTGCATTAAATTCCATATCAAGGTCAATGTCATCCACAACCTGCAAGGATGGATCAGTCCTATGAAATAGTGTGGTTTCATCAACTACATGAGTGACACCAGGAACAGAATGCAATTGAGCTGTGTGGGCTTTCCCCTTTGACATATCTTCATTGCTTGTACCATTAACCTTATGAAACGAAATGTTGAACTCTGTATCTCCATCAACGGACTGGATGAGACCACCACTTGATACGCCTACATTATTTCCAAAACGGTCCAAGTCTCCCGAAAATGAATCGGTTTCTACTGAAGTCCTACGTATGATATGGAAGAATATGATTATATAATTGCAATTAACAGCATCACATTCCAATTCTAGTAAATTAAATAAATTTTAACAAAAAGAAAAAACAGATAGACGACGCAATAATCTAATCATCATATAAAAGATAAATTGAAAGCAAAGAAAAACAAGATTAAAAAGAATAATTTAACAATGAAATTTTACTCCCGTTATAGATTATACAAGTGTCATGGAGAATATAAATCATAATCCAACAAGTTCACTGGCTAATCTACAAGTCAATAATCCTCGTCTCTTTTCTCGGGGATTCAGAAACAATGTGGTCTCTTCCACTTTTCAGTAAAGGACAGCAAATTTTATCATGGAAATAGGCCATTGAATAGAAGCTAAACTAAGCTCTCCAAGAAATAAGCTGAGAACCACATTGTTCCTCAACCACACACCAACTTTCAAAATGTATTACTTCTCATGAACGGTAAGATTCGTAACAATTAACTTAAAACAACTCAACCTAAGCTAAAATCAAGGACTATAATAATCATCTACAACTAGAATCAAAACAACACTTAAGACGAGTTTCCGATTCGCTCTAACAAAACCGTTACACAAATAGATCATGCACTTCATCACAAAACTCCGAACCAAACAGTAACATTAAAAACTCGATCGCATTCATACGTACCAGACTTCTTCTTCTTTTTCTTCTTCTTCTTCTTCATAGTCACAGTCACGAAACAAGTCATCGTGCGAAGACCAAAACTCCAGACCCCCGGAGCCTCCAAAGACCTCAGCATAGTCAAAAGCGTTACGACGGAAGTCGAAAAAAACCTCGCCGGCGTCAACTGCCGGAAGATCCAACACCGGAATGGAGGAAGAGCGAGCGGAGTGGAAGCTCGAGAATATCTCGCCGTAGTCTTCAAACCGGGGCGAGATAGAGGAGGCGGTGAACTTCGGTGGACCACCGTTAACGTCGTCGTATAGAGTTTTGGCAGATGAGAAAGTACCGTTGGTGATTTTCTTGGGAAGCGTAACGGATACCTTGTTCGGTTGGCGAGAATGCATTGCACTTTCCATGGAAAGGTTGGAGGCTCTAGGGTTCTAGCTTCTCTCTCCTCTCTTTCTCTCTCTTGTTTGTTATGGCTCTTTGGGTGTGAGTGCAGACACTACTGTGAAAGCGTCAGAGGAGGACGAATGAAGAAAAAATGAGTAAAATGAAGAAAGAAAAAAAGGTGGTGGTGAAGAGGGAGAAATGACTAAATTGGGCTTGTGTTTTTTTGTTTTTCTCCAACGAATTTTATATTTTTAAAAATAAACGTGATTCGATGTTGTATATCGACCGCAATTCTTTTTTCCTGCTTTTTTTTTCTCTTTCGAAAGTCCGATATATAAATTTTAAAAATATTTGATTTAAATTTATTTTTTCTCTCTCTTTGTAAGTCAATTTATATCACAAAAGCATATCTTAATATTTTTAAGCGTACAAATGAGCGGCTCTTTTATTTTTTTTATTATTAAAAATAAAGAAATGAAAAGAGTATCCGGTGACGACGCGGGAAAGATAAAGAGTTGTTGGGGGCAGCGTCAACGAGACGGAGACATCCTTGCCACTTTTTAACGCATTAATATAAAATACTGCTGTAGTTAATTAAGTAATTTAAAGTGTTTAATATCTTTTTATTTTTATAAATATTTTAAATTTTATTTTTAATGTGTATTAAAAAAATAATATATTTTGACTCATAAAAATTTTATTCATTCAGTTTTAATTTTTATTATTTTTTAAAATTTTGAAAATTCATTTAATTATTCTTAAGTCTTTAAATTTTTTAATAATTATTTTTATATATGTTTAGAATATTATAAAATATTTCTTTATCAAATTTTAAAATTTTTTAAAATGAAATAAATCAAATATGAATTCTTCACGTGTTAATGAAAAAAATAATCAATTGATTCTAATTAATAACATTCAAAATCTCTTCCTTTGAAGAAGGATTTTAAATGGTTTAAGTTTTAAATTATTAGATAAAGTGTCTTCGGATAAATAAGTAGTTTAGGTTGGAGATTCATTGGGTAAGGAATTTTTTAATTTATACTTGATAGTAGTGAAAGAGGTCATGGATGTGTGGCGAAGGTATACGCTTCGTCTATCGTTCTTTTTAGATTGATTTTTTGTTGGTTTGAGCACATTTTTTTTAGATATGACGTTTTTCTAAGATATGTTGCATATATCCTTTCTGTCTCCATCCATAATGTGTGATCGTGTGGGTAACATATATTAGGTCAACAACGGCATAGAGTGAGTCATAAAAAATAATTGAGCTTCTTGAATTTCAGGGAATCAACTACTCATTCCCATAGTGGTTGTTATAATCTCAAGTGTTGTACCCCAAAATTTTCCCTCTCATTTCCCAAGACATTTTTCACAAAGATCTTCAAAAGCTCAAGCTTTCACAAGTATTTACTAGGTCAAGACATCTCCTCAACACCGATACCTCAAATTAGGATTTGAGTTTGCACAATGACAGTTGGACTTTTAATGTCTCATATGACTTTCATGGATCATTATGGAACCTCAAGATTGCACATGTCAAGTTTCAAGTCTTGGATCACAAAATTGCTCAGTCAATTGACCAGATAACCTAAAATTAGTTGTATTGGGTAAAAAGTCAATTATGGTCAACCTACAGTCAGACTTCAAGATTTTGGACCAATATCAACATTTTGAAGTCATATGTATCAATTGATCAAATTTGAATCACAATTTCCCAGGAAAATTGTTCAAATCACCAAAAGGGCAAAATGGTCAAAAATAGGGTTTTGACTGTATCTGACTGATCAAGGATTATTTGACCTAATACATGATCTAATGGCTTAAAGTACAATCTCAAGGATCCAAACACAACATGTTGACCTAATTTCATGGCTCAAAACATTTCTCAAGATCGTTGAATGATAGATGAAATTTGGGTAACTGATGAAAAAGTCAACTGTACACTGAAAAGTCAAACTTTGACTTTTTGGTCAACAATAAATTTCAAAGATTAAAATATATCAATACATTCAAAAATATGAAATTTGATCATCAATAAAGTCAAAAAGTCTTTGGAAAAGTCAACATTTTCTATATTTATAAATTTTTCCAAGTGTTTTAAAGATGATAATTTCATAAGTTCATACCAATTTTTCACCATGATACAAAATGATTTAAAGGAAACTTTTAACATGAAAGTTATAGATCTTGATGAATTCTACAATTTTATATTAGAGGATTGATGTCCAAAAAATGCTTAGATTTGAAGATATAAGCCCATGAAGTCGTGACATTGTTGTCCAACACTTGGAGAAATTTTCAACATATTTTGGTCAATTTTTATCTCAACTTCTTGGAATTTTTTCACATAGTTCTAAGATGATTTTGTCAAAATTGCCAACGTGAAAGTTATAGAGGATGTTTCAAGCTTTCCAAAATATCCAAGAGCATGAATTTATCATACTTGAGCTAGGAGATTCAAAAGCATGAAGTTTGACATCCATTCTTGAATTACAAGTCTTTTTGGTGAAAAACACATGATCTAATCTACATGCTATGCTGCATAATCTTATGTTGCAATACCTTTTACTTGTAAATCTCACCATAATTTAATGTTTACACAAAAGCTTGAACCATTACCCAAGAGACACAAGCCATTATCCAAATAACTTGCCATTTAAGGTAAAAAGTTACCATTGTTATTCTTGAAAAGCAAGCATGTTGGTACAAAACTTTTATTGAGCCCATACCTTGTTTACTTCTGATTTTACTCCACTATAAATCATGGAAAGTAACCCCTCTATACCAGCAACTTTAATGCTTCATCTTGGGACTATGGGGAATTGACATAGTTTAATATTTGTATCCCAACCAAACCATAAAATGTTGTCTTACAAATCTAATCAGCTTTTGTTCCCAAACTTCTTGCCTATAAATAGAGGGAGAATTTGCAAAAGAAAGAGCCCAGAAAAAAGTGAAAAAGAAACTAGCACTCAAAATCCCTTCACTCACAAAAAACCAGAATTGTTCATAAAAACCTCCATCTTTGAGCTTTGAAGTCCAAATCTTTGAATCTCGTACCTTGCAAGTATTCCTCAAACAAACCATCCAAATACTTCACATACATCATATAGAAGTTGTTCAAACACAAGAACAACTTATGTAACATCATTATCACCACCTTCCAAACTCAAAAACATTATCTTACAAGTTAACTTAGTTGGAGAGATTCAAACACTTTCAACATAAAGTAAAGATTGGAACAACTTCAAGGAGGTCTAAGGAAGATCAATCAATCATCACATTGCACCTGGAAACATCCATACATATTTCGAGTTTTCACTTCAAGAGGTAAGTTTTCTCAAACTGTGATATCCTTGTTCATACATCATTTTACGTTCGTTTTCAAAAGAATAAAACAGGACAAGTCAAAGTAGAAGAGTTGCAAATGATAGAACGAAATTACACCATTTATTTGACTCAATTTGTGCATGTTTTACCTTCGTTTTAGTTTACATTTTCCCTATTATGCTGGTATTTTCTTATTTTCATTTATTTAGCAGTTTGAGAGTCTTCCGCAAAGAAACGAAGCAAAACAGGCGAAAAGTAGAAGAAATGGAGCAGTTTGCACACAAGGTGTTCAAGATGCCGTTCGCTATGGAGAAATCCAAAAATGAGAAAATAGAAGGAAAAGTCTAATAAATAAAATGGAAAACTCACATGATAGAATTATAGTCGATTGCAGTCTTAGTGCAATAAAAAGATGTTGTTTTTCCCTTGCGGTGCTGACCGACGATTTTGGCCATAACTTTTAATCCATAAGTCTGAATAACGCCCCGTTCGAAGCGTTAGAAAGCTAACACAGAGATCTACATCATCGAAAATGGACTTTTGGAATCCTCCAACCAAACATGGCGTTCTCTATCCCCTACATGGCGCCCGCCATCTTTGAAAATGGCGAAATGGTTATTGGAAGTTGCAGAATCCAACCCATTCACCCACAATTGGAAGATGGCACCCGCCATCCCTATATGGTGCCCGCCACCCTTTATTTTTGCCAGGCGGTTGAAACCAACTCCATTGGTAGTGGAAGGGTAGTTTTGTACTTCCCAAGGTTTTTGTTTCCTATAAATAGCCCTTAGATTGTCTCATTTGGATCATCCACTCTTAGTTGCAACATTAGGCATAAACTTACTCTGTAAAAGCGATAATTCATCACATCGATGGATTATTGCACCATGGTTGTAATAGAGTTGGGTCATAGTATATGGTAGAAGTTAATCCAGTTATAGTCAGTGCTACCTTCATCCAAGCTTAGTTGCACTGACTTAAGCCATATGTTGTCCAATTGTAAGCGGTAATCTCTTCACATCGAAGAGTTATCACACGAGTCATTAAGTCTATAATGAAGTTTGGAGAACTTTACAATCTTGCTTCCATTTTAATTCAAGTTTCCTTTATTTCAGTCAAATTTACATTCCAGTCAAGTTTCTTTAAAGCCCTCCGTTTGGAGCAGGTTTATATTTAAGTTTCTACATTTATCGCACTTATTTCCTCGCACTTGCTTTACTTTATTTATTTTCTCGCATCACACTTGCTTTACTTTGTTTATTTTCTCGCATCGCATTTGCTTATCTTTTAACCTTTTTACTTTCTGCTTAAACATGATTTGCTTTAATAAGTTTATTTCCATGTCTGGCTAATTTCCTTTAGGGTTAGAATGTAATGATCATGGTTAAGGTAACTGTCTAAACATTGCATCTGTAGGAATACTTTAGGGGTTGTTTTGGTTTTTAACACAAGTTTTCTGCACTTTATTTTCTGTTGGGTAAGATCGAAATTCGTCCAACCATTGATAAACTTGGTTAGTCTTAATTGCTCAAAGAGAGTGAAAGCGTCTTGTTCAATTAAGTAAGAACCTTTAACTTTTTAGAAGAAATGATTTCAAAACATTTTTCGGACGCGTTTATAGGTTTAAAAGTCTAATCATCTCTTGGTTAGAAGTTTTTAGTCAATATCACTTTTCAACTTAGACAAGTAA